GCGCACAATAGTTTATAGAGAAAATAATTAGCAAATACTGGAGAGATTATACAGAATGGGGCTTCGCCTCCTCCTATACTATCATTATAGTGGAGGATTCGTTTTAGTAAAACAAACATAAACCATAAGATTATTTCAACCCACTCAATGTCTGTTATATTCTTATCTGACGAAAAGATGCGCCTATCTCTTGCCTTAGATGGGGGTCCATGATTCATCTAAATTTCTTTCTAATTTTCATAGAAAATTTCCCCCATGCGCATACAAATAGATATCCAAATTGAATATCGAACATTAGCAACCGATAGAGAAAATTTAAAATATTCTTATCAAAATTTAGGAGGACATTCTCTTGCAAATTAATAATAAGAATGCTAGCAATCACCTCGCGGGTAATTATCTGCTTTCCTGTTTGAAGTACTAGCACGAAATTACTGATAGGATTCTGATTTCACCCCTAAGGAATCAATCAAATAATGTCAACAAAATGCAGGTATACAGTAAAATATATAATAGTCATAAATATGATTTGATAATCAAAGTATGTTTATTCGAACAACCCCCAGCTTTAACAAAAGAGGTTAATCTAACAAGTCACATATAAGCCATGAAATTCACCGCCATAACCTTATAATCAGCATATATTGTAAGTATAAGTGAACAATTTCTCCGTTGCGTATGAGCCGTGGGGGGGATGCGAAATAATGAGCGCAGTTTAGATATGAGTACATGAAGGAAGAGATAAATTAAAACTGCGATATTAACCTTCTCACATTCTCATAACTTCTCATAGGACTGTCTGTAAAAGAACAATAACAGCATCTATACTATCTATCCCCTACCTTTAGTCTGTATTTCAAGATAATGATATCAAAATAATTAACTCTGTTTTGCTGATGAAACTCGAAATACCAAAAGTGGAAGTATGAATATATCAAACTCTTAGCTAAGGAGCAATAATAAAAATGATATCATTCCCTGAAGGTGTTATTATCCTCAATTAGATAGAGGGGTTAATTTAATAAGCGTCACATATAACTATCTTCCCTATAAGGAAACAGCAATTTCAACCCCAACACCGAATTCATGAACGGAAAAATATATTCACTAAAGAATAGGGCCGGGGTTATGCCAAACTCTCTTATAAAGGGCTATACTCAGAAGTACTATGTGAAACTTCCTCCTGGAAGTGGGAAATCTAGTGATAAGTACGAATCATTGAGGGATTGTCCCCAACTTTGAATACAAGAGTCCAAGAAACCGTGAGGGAGAACACCTATTGTGTACAAATTCCATAGTGATCTTATCATCAGGAGAAATTCAGTAGTGAGATAGATGAAAAGGAAGATAAAAATTCTAACATTAGAACAACCAACTAACCAAAGCCACGCTAAATAGTATGAATCCCCATTAATATACATGAATATGGGCTCTATAATTATGCTCCAAATCAACCAATGTATCCATCCCGGATTTTACAAATATATTCTATGAACAAGCGGAGAAAGTCAAAAAAACAGAATAGTAAGACTACGTCAAGAAATCTGTTTTCAATCTGTATATATCTCAATGAACAAAACACACCAAGTCTAAACATTGATTATTCTGTATCATTATATTAGACCCCTTAGCATATATTGAATATCCAGAAGGTAATAAAAAATCTCCAAGTCTATCTCTTATTCTATTTTACCGATCACGTAGACGAGGATCCTGGAAGAGAAACGAGGGAGCAAAACTTAAGAACGACCCAACAGGACAAAATGACAACTGGGACAACAACATGACAGGGTAACCACACAAACAGAAAGAATCCACCAGACACGCGACAGGATCCCTCATGCCTCGAGGAACTCGCAGAGACTCTGTTCAGGAACCTCCAAGGAGGCAACATTAACTGGTGTTTCCTACACGGAACAATTTTAGATGTGATCAAGGAGACAAAAGCGCAACAACTAAGTCATTAAACTTAACTCCTAAAATCTAAAACATACACCCTAGACAGAATACAGTGAAGGCTAATTAATGAGACAAAAATCGGAAAAATACACCCACAACAAGGAGCAGTGGAGGATGACGCGCACGATTGACAGGACTAAACAGAGCAACTGATGAATAGAGCGGGAGACTCCCAGACCCTGCCTTAGAGAATGATACAATCACAAACAATAGGGGGCATTGACGCCTCAAAATTGAGGGAAAGGTATGGGCAATGCCAAGTCCACCTGGGGTCAGACAGTAAAAATGACCCCTGTAGAGATAGCTGTCCCCCTCATGACGCATGTATGGTCCCGACACGAATGAGCTCAGCACTGAACCGTACAAATGAGTCAGGGTCAATGGGGAATGAAGTGTAGGAAGTCGAAGCAAGCGGCAGAATCCCGAACCTTCAGGAAAGGACAATGGAACCAACCAACAGGACTAAGCCAATACCCGTAGAAGAGCAAGGGTAAAGATGAACAGTGGACCGTGCCAGTAAACGATAAAAAAGAAAGAATAGCGAAGAAAGATGAGGGGAGCCGCAACAAATAACAGCCATCAACTGTACAAACTACTCCCCCTACTATTACCGTAGCTCCTGCAACCGTAGAAATGACCAGTAGAGAAACGAAATCTAAGAAGTAAACCCTGGGCGCGTACAGTTACTTATTAGACGAAAAGGATAAGGGATAAATAATAGAGAGGGAACCGTCACAATACAGTTAAAACCCCGGAACGAACAACGAGCAAAGGGAGTAACACGTAAGAACTCTACCAAGAGGACTTAGCACTGGAGAGTAAAGGATTAATTATAGAGCTTACCCCATAGGGAGTGCCCAAACAGGAATAGTACTTTATACCCAACCATTAAGAAACTACAGTTGATCCAACTCGGACGCTTGGGTAGGACATCAACTTAACAGAAAATCCATAAAGGCAAGTGATAGGAACCTCGTCCAACGAGATCGAACATGAAAATTGGATAAAGAGACGTACACGTAAGGAATAGACCATAGAAGAGGGCGGCTCACAAGAGCAGGAAGGGCATCAAACAGGAAGGGTTGTAATTACACCAGGAGCCTAAGGGCACTAATGGTAGCCTACAACAACCAACAGCAGCCTAAACAAGCCCACAATAATTCAGGATAAGGAATCAGAAGATTCAGGAACTAACGAACCGAGTATAAATTTGTGGACAAACCTACAGATTGTGGACACACACTTCAAGCCCTAGGATGAGGGGAGGACGTATAGCTTAAGTTATAACTCACGGAAACACTACCCTAAACTCTGCAGAGGAAATCTAAGGAACGAATGAGCCACAATGGAACCAATGCAACAGAGAAACACAAGGATAGAAAGTACGCCTTGAACCTTGAGCCAATGGGAGGTCAACTGAAGACAAGAGGACATGAGAACTGAACAAATGAGCAAAAATCCCTGACGAGTAAGAACAACTCCAAACCCCGGAGGAGACAACCGTAAGTGTTAAGCTGTGAATTAGCCGAAATAGATCTTACAGATTAATCCAGGGAGAGGAAGACATAAGACTAATACATAACTCCTGAACCGTAAAGTATGAAAACGTAGAGTAAACCCTGGAAAAGAAAAAAGAAAACCATGACAACAACACCATAAACGGTACATCTAAGTCCTGAATCATCACACATAAAAATAATCCACGACCCTAAAAGTGAAGGTAGATTCTAAAGCTTACCTCAACGCACTGAACAGCTCACTGAGCCATAGAACTTGAACCCTCCCTCTAAGTCTAAACCTTAAAGCCTGAATCCTAAAACCTAAACACTGAAGTCTAACAGGAGCCTCTGAGCCTTAAACCCGGAGCGTGAATCCTGACTCCTAAGGGTAAAAAACACGCTCGAAACCTGAACCTAGACTTCCCCACTTGACACATAAACCTAACCCGCAAGCTAGAAAATACCACGAAAGACTAAAGAGTAACTCAAAAAGTATGAAACCCAAACCCTCAAAACCCAACACAAAACCTAAACCCTAAAACATAACCCAAAGACCTCACACCCTGAACACTAAACCGCAGTGCCGGTACCTAGAAAATGAACCCAAAGGATAAACCACTAACCCTCATGCTCCAAACCTAAACCCTAGACCCTAAGACTGAAAACTAATCCCCAAAATCCAGACACTAGAAGCTGAAGGCATAAAACAACGGATCCTGAACCATAAACCGTAAACCTGAAACTTTAATCCCGAACCCAGAGCCTTGAACCATAAGCCTGAACCCTAAACCCTGAAACCCTAAACCTAACCTCTAACCCTAAACCCTGAAGCCTAAACCATAACCCGTGATCTCAAATGCTAAGCCCCCCAACCTAAAGCCTGAACCTACACTCTGAACTCTAAACCTGAACACTAAAACCTAACCCTACCCCATAATCCCGAGACCCCTAAATCTGAACTCTTAAGCTAGACTCTGAGACCTAAACCCCGAACCGGGAAAACTAAACCCCGGAAACTAGTCCCTCATGCCTAAAGCTAAACCCCTGAACACTAAACCCTGAACCCTAGATCTAAACCCTAAAGGTTAGTCCCTAAATCCTGAACCGTAAGAGCTGAAACCATAAACCCTAAACCTGAACCCCAAACCCTAAACCGTAGACCTGAACCATAAATTCTGAACGGTAAGAGCTGAAACCCCGAACCTTAACCCCTCAACCATAGCCCTTAAAGATAGACCCTGAAGTTAAACGTCAGACTCCTACACACTGAGCTTTTCCCTTACCTTCTAAACCTAAACGTAAACCCTCAACCCTAGCCCTTAAAGCTAACCCCTAAAGTTAAACGTCAGACTCCTACACACTGAGCTTCTCCCTTACCTTCTAAACCTAAACTTAAACCCTCAACCATAAACCTGATACGTCAACTTCGACTCCTTAATGATTAACCCCGCAAAGGGATCTGTCAAGTACGAATTTCTAAAATTAGCCCCCGAGGATTCCACCCCTAATCCTAATGGACTCACTCAATAGCGGGACCTAAATCTACACCGTAAACTTCAAATGTGGTACCCTTTGGAATTCTAGCTCCTTACCTTCTCTAGTGTTCTTCTTTAGATCTCTCTTCTGGTGGAAGACGAACTTGCTCCTTTGACCTCTCCTGTAGTTTCGGATTGTTTGTCTTCTCATTGTGTTATAGACTCCATATATTCCCGCCGCTGCCAATAAGACTCCTATCACTGCTCCGAACAGGTGTGTCTCCTTACTAAACCTCACCTTAATTCCCCGCGTCCTGTATCTCCCCTCCTAAGGTGGATGAAAGTTGACCTGCCGTAACGAATACTTCTTGTGAATAGTCGTTGCGGATTGGTGGTGGGGGGGCCGCGTGGATGATTCGGGGAATTGTTCCCATACTTACCAAATCCTCCTGCCTTTTTCTTATTGTTGTCCCGTCCAGTGCTCCTATTGCCTTCACTAAGTCTTCCCCGTCGGGCGCCCTTTGTGGGGATCCTCTTCTTTCTGTGTGGTACTCTATTGGTCCACGGAGAGGCTCGTTTGCTCGGGATCTTTCAAGTTTCCTTGGCTTTTCCTCCCTGACAACACACACCAACCCCCCCTGCCCCGCCCTTCTGTTTAAGATACTCGCTCTAACTGCGTCATATAATGTTCCCCCTGGGAGAATGAGGCTGGTTTGATACCTTCTCTTTTTGGTCTTGACCTTAAACCATCTCTTCATCAATTTCCTTGCCATGGCCTCTCCTCCCCAATCGTTAAACTCGTGGTATATACGCCTACATAGGTTCCCCATGTTGCCCGATGTTTCTTTCTCTTTGCTTGCTTTTTCAGGAGTTGCTAATATCATTAAGATTATCCTTACTATATCCAAACAGATCATAAACGACTTCTGGCTCGGATATATTGGGGAATATATGTCCCTTGATCCAAACTCGCTCCACTCTAATAGAGAGTTCTTTCTCTGATCTCCCTCGTGGCATCGCGCGCTGGTAAGGCTCCTTTTGTATTCCTCATATGAACACCCCCGCAGTTTTATCTTTCCCCCTTCGCTCTTGCTCTTCCATAACCCATTAAGCCATAGTTCTATTTCCCTACATATTATTCCACTTAACAGATAGAGACTTCCTCTATTCTTTACTTGATTCCAATCCCCGTTTTTGTCATATTGCCACTCATTCACAGGCTCGGGGGGGGCATCTTGTTTATTTAATCTACACACCCCTCCTCCCTCGCGTCCTCTTGTCTGACAATATCCTCTTACTTCGCTACTATTCATTACCTTTCTTAGCTCTTCGGCAAAGTTATATGTCATTGTTTGATTCCTTCTTTTCTCCGGTCCGGCGGGTTATTGATTCGTCGGTATTTTGATATACCCTGTACTTCTTGGATTGAGCTTCTGCCTCTGCGTTTTGTTCTAATTACGGAGCCCTCTTATATCAAAAAGAATTGATGTGTTCCTATTTATCAGCTCCTTTTCATCGGGGGTTAATTCTATCCTAACGCCTTGATTCTTTGTTGTTCACGGGTGCTCTCTTTCCATTCAGTTCCCTTCCGATTTCTGAGCTTTTTGAGCTAGATGGTTCAGTCTATCACTTCCCAATAGCTCATCCTTGGACCTGCTGTGCAGAGGCGAGCTCATACTTAACGCCTTTTTACCTGGGTCGTGAATTCTGGAAGAGAGAGCCTGTCGGAGGATATGGGTATCTCCTCATCCTAGTTTGGGGGGTTCTTCCTTGGATTGGCTCATCTCTTTCTTTGTTGTTTTGTTGACTGCTCGCCTCGCCATATCTTATCTGCTGTTCCTGGAGTTCCTGTGTGTTAAGTGGGTTCTGGGGGTCAGTACTCTCCACTCCTCTGGGGGCCTCGGCTGTGGGATGGGGGGGCGGTTTTCTTCTCTGGCTCCTGATTCCTTGGAGCCAGTCCTATTGTTCTCTGTTCCACACTTCAGGCTTCGGCGGGTTGGTCCCCTTGGGCTCCCTTTCATTTGCTCCCCGGATTGGGGTTCTGATCTGGTTTCTCTGGTTTCATACTGAGGTCTCCCCTCCCGGTCATTTTTTTCTGGTGAATTGCTTCGGATTTTGAATCCTCAGTGATCTTTTTCCCCGTTCAGGCTTCTTCTTGAGGTGTTGTTCTGCTCTGGGTGTTTGGGAGTCATCCTTCTCCCTGAGACGGCTGACTTGTTCTGGGTCCTTTTTCGTTTGGGGCTGGTATTGGCTCGTGTTTGCTTTTGGTGGTGCGCTGCCCTTTGTTGCTCTGGGACTCCCTGTCCTGTTGCCTTTGAGACTCATGATTATTTGGAGACTTCTGTTTGTTTATCCTGCTTCTTCCTGTTGGCTACTCTTAATTTCCTGTCTCGTCTGGAATTAGTCTGTCTTTCCTCTTGGGGGGGATTTTGGTGGTGGGGGTTATTTGTCGATGGACGTTTCCTGGGGCTCCGTATTCTGGGTACTCCTTATTTGTCGGCTTAACTTCCTGTTGAGCCTGAACCTGAAGTTGTCCCTGTGTGGGCGCCAATGGGTTCTCATACACGGCTCCCTACTCTGTCGTCTTGATTGGTCGCTGGTGAGTCACTCCTTTGTTGTAATTTCGCTACCTTTTGATTTTTTCAAGTTTTGATTTTTCAGAATTTCTGTTATTCGTCTGAAGTAGGTGCTGTTGTCTAGCTTATTATATTTTTACACTCCTCGGTCTCGGCGCCTGGGGTTGCTTGATTTAGCTGGGGCTGAAGGACTTGCTCTGATAACTGTTCTTGGTTCTACTCTTGAGACTACTGGATTATAACTGGGTTTTTAGTGAACTTTGGTCGATCTTCTGTTATTCTTGATTTTTCCATTGGGGTTTCTTCTCTGAAGGGCCCTTTAATTCAGTTGCTGTTTTGCATCTTAACTTGTCCTTTTTTTTTTCTGGTCTGTTGGCTTTTGGGGGGGGAGGGGTGTAGGGGGGGTTTTATTTCGGAACCCGTCTTGGTTCGGTGTTATGGTTTTACCTGTTTCTTCCTGTTCTGGATTTGTCGCCTTTGGATCTGATTTTGTGCTTGAAGATTCCTTTTTTGTTGTTCTTTGCGGTCCTTCCTTTGGCCTCTAGTTTTGCCTGCTGTTTTGTCTTTTGTGATACGGCCAGGGCCGTTGGGATGCCTTTTGTTGTTGTGTTTCTGTTGGGTGAGGTTTGCTCCTAACACGTTGCCTGTTTGGGGGTAGATAGTGGGGGACCTGTTGTTGGTTTTTTTAGGTTTTGTTCTGGTGAGGTTCTTTAATTTGGAGTTCTCATCCACCCTGGGAGGAGTTGCCTTCTGTATTTTCTATCTTGTTAATTGGGGGGTTATTCTTCTTATTATCCTTTCGTTGAGTGAGGGGTTGGGGATTCCTTTTTGGTTTGCCAGTTTTTTGGGTTCTGTTGGGATCCCGTTGGGTGTGGGTTTTGGTGGTTGCTTGTTTTGACTTCAGGGGTCTCTTTTTTTTTGTTTAGCTACTTTATTATTTTTGTGGTAGAAATTCCTGCTATATCTATCTTTGATCTTCGGTTATATGTTTGGGGGGACGGGGATTCTCGGTTTGGGCTGGAGTCATCTGTCTTTTGGTCTTCTTTAGTCGTATTTTATTGATCTTTATTTTTCAGTATATTATTTCGTCTCTGCCTTAGTCGCTTACTGGCGAGCTGTTCCTTTTTATGTTGGATCTGTTTCAGCTGTTCTTTTTTATTAGTTAAGTTGGGGGTTTGTGGGATTGATTGTTGTTGTTTGTGCCGGGGATATATCCTGAAACTGGTACGACTCGTTTTTTTTGGGGGATATTGTCTATTAGTTCGTGTTGTTTTTTTTCTTTATTTATCTTGTTTTCGGATATTCTCCGGGTTTCTATCTTCTGGTACGCTTATACTTTCATTTTTTTGAAACTTCGGGAGCGTTAGTCCATGTCTGTTCAGTTTTTGGCTCCAATGTCACGTTTGGGTGAGACGGGGTTCTTGAGAGACATTATGTCTAGGGTCAGGCTTGCTGTTGGGCTTTTTTTATTGTTTTTTTTTCTTGATACAGATTGTTGATACGGTTCATTACTTTTTGTGGGATTTGAGGTATTCTTTCTGATGGATTGGACATTTGGTCGGATTTTTTGTTTCTTGTTGGTGGTCCATGTGGTGTTATTCTGTCTTTTCCGATTTCTTGGCTCCCTCGAATTTTTAGTTTTTTGTCCTTTCCCTAATTTTGGTTGGGGGGCTGGGGTTATTTTTAGATCTCCGGCTGTTTTGTTATCTCTTTTGTTGGTCATGTGCTTGCTTTCTGGTTAATCTGTTATGTCTTGTGAGAAGTCTGTTGTTTCTTTGTCTTTGGATTCGTCTGCGGTTGTTATCGGATTTGGCCTGTTATTTTTCTTGGGGAATTTTCCGTTTTTAGTTGGTGTGATTGATTGGGAGAAGGATATGGGTTCCTCTTTTTGTTCCTTTAGCTTGGTATTTTTTTGATATGACACTGTTATTGGCTGATTTATTCTCTTGATTGACGTTTCCTTTTCATTATACCTGTCTGTTCTTATTGATACAAGGTCCCGATTTTTTCATATTTTCTAGCTGAGAGTGTATGGGAGTTCATTGGTTCCATTTTACAGACATGAGTTGGCTGCTGTTGCTTGTTAGTCAGGATTGATATTTGAGCTGTTTTGATTATTGTATTTGTTCTAGAATTTCCTTGTTTCTTTTTTTTCCAATTCTGGAATCTGTTTAACCTTTTTTGGTTTAGTGGAGGGTAGAATTTGTTGTATTCAGGGCGCTTTATTATTTTACTTGATTTTGAATGGTTTTTAGGGATTGTTGGTGGTTGGGTTGAGAATATTTGATGGTTTTTTTCATAACAGATGTTATTACTTGTATTTGGGGTTGCCTTCTCCCTTGAGAGAATTGACTGGCTTTAAATTTTCAAATTCCAATACATTTAGTTTAAATTTTTCCTTTGTTCCTATGGGAGTTGTTGAGTTGCTTACCTGTTCTTTCATGGATAACCCTCTTCCAGTAGTTATCGCGGTTTTTACAGATGTTTACTACCTTTAAGTTGTATAAGGCCATGGTCTTCTATATGTTATTTCTTTGGCCTCCCCTTATTAGGGGGTTGCGAATGTTGGGTATCGTTTTTATCTTTTCTATTTGCACTTGTAGTTTTATCCTGGAATGACTCTGGGAGGTGTTTCTATTTGAAATTTTCTACTATTCGTGCTTTTTATTGAAATCACTCTGTCACTGTTTAAACTGTTCCCGTTTTTTTCTTTTGTTATCGGATTTAGGGGTTCTTCACTAGCTGTTTTTCCTGTTTTTGAACTTATATGTGTTCAGTCATGTACTCTTTGGATGACTGGGACGTTGGTTTGTAGAGTACAGTGTGGGTCTGTTGGGGTGGCTGGTTTAATTTCTTGCTCCTCCTGGATGTTCAGGATCTGTCAGAGTTGTATCTTGTGAAATTTTTCTGGGTATATTCGCTGGTTGTCCCTTATCCATGGCTGATTATCCCAACTAGGTTGTTTCTCCCTTGTTGATGTAGATTCTCCTGCTGTTTCATACTCATCATTCATGCTGGATAATATGAGCTGTGGTTTTGCTGGAAATTCTTTTCCTGTTTCCTCTGTTGGTTGGGTCGCCTTCCTTCTATTAGTGGATGCAACTCACGCCTAAGTTCCGCTTTGGGTAATTTCGCGATATGCCTGGCGATTTTCCATTGGATGATTTTGGTGTTGCCCTGGGTATCTTTACTGCCTCATGGAATCTCACACTTATCTTCTTTTGTTTTTTAGGCTTCTTTTGTTAGTTGTATTTGGAGTTCTGTCGTTGTTTCCAGTGGTTTCTATACTTCCATTGGGGCCACATAACTAATACTTTTTTTGGCGTTTTCTGGGGTTGTTATAAGTGACTGATTTATTTATTTAAGAGCCTGCCATACTTTATTGAATTTTTATTCTTAGGATTCGTGTTCCAGTCGTATGCCCCTCAGCATGATGTCAGTCTACCTTTCCCTAAGGAGACTTGAATTGTCTGGTTGCTACTTCTCAGAGTGGTTGGGCATACATCCTTCCCTGGTGTTCTGAATAGGGGGATTCAATCTGGAGTTTCTTTGGATTTAGCACTGTTATTTCAGTCTCTGCTCTCTAGATCTTTTCATCTATATCCCGGGGGTCAAGGAATATTCACTTGTCGGATACCTAATTTAACCTGACTACTGATTAGCTCCTGTTTGAGAGTTTCCGTTCCCCATGTCTTCGCTTTTGGTCGTCCTCTTTTCTGCCTTGGGTTTTTCCTTAAGGTCATTTTATTCTTTTTCAGCCGTATTTGTATCCGTGCTTGTTCCTTCTTCACTGTTGTTCTGGGGTATCCGTCAGGGGTGCCCTCTTGACACTCCGTGGGTCAGGCTCTCTTCTCCTGCTTCGGGGAATCTATTTATATTATTTCCTAAAATTTGTCAAGTTGTTCCGAGGAGACTCGTTTGATCCACCATTCTTAGTCTATTCCGCAGTGTTCCTCTTTTTTTCTTCTAGGCCTAGGGGGTCAGGGGCT